TACTGTATTTTCTTGCATACAACACAAAAATTCCCCCAAATCCGCCCTCTTCTCCTCTTTGCCTCCCACCCCCAATCAAAGGTTGGAGTGCATGTATCAGTCGGGAAGGCTGATTTTCTGTCTGGGATAGTAGCACCCTGCTTTGATTATTGCCCTATAATACAGCAACTGTGGCATTTCTATCCAGGCAGTTGAGAGTCAGGTGACTTAATGGCTCATTGTATGTCACTCTACAGGTGTTAATGATTATCTCTCCTTTTTAATGGCCTTGATGCTAATCAAGCTAAACTTTTTAAGGCAGTTTTATTATTTAGTAGGCATTCTAAGTCCCTCTCCCCTTATTTCACAGCCTTAAAGACTGTTGACCTCTTTTCAAAATCATATATCTACCCATGGAGACCAGTTTTCAGGAGCAGATAGGTTTTCAGCTGTAGTTAAGCAGGAAAGGAAGAGTGAGTCAGCTGACAGGGTGAGCTAGCCCTGTCCCTGCTCTGTTTTCTAACTCAAAAACAAATCTGTTTCCTTCATTGTGCCTCCCAAAACCAGTGTAGATTATATTCCAGGGCACGTTGTAAGAGAAAATGCAGTATGTGATACAAACCAGCCAGCATACTGCAGCCTCAGTCCAGATGTTGAATGCCACCAATGGTGTCTCGTATCCTTTGTAGGGTGTGAACATCACAATGCCTTCTACGGTCATTACATCTTACTTTAACAAGTGCTGGGCTTCTACTATTTGCTTTGGGAACTGAGTTTAAAATCTGTGTACCTGTGCCTAGTTGTCAGTATAGGATGTCTGCACAGAAGCCTGCTGTCTGTGTTGGAATGAAATCTCATGTGCAGATTTACCATTCAGCTGCTATTTAACAGATGAAATTAAAATAATTTTATCTATGAAATGCTGTATTAAAAAAATTAGTGTTTGTGTTGTCTGCTGTGCTTTTTATCCAATGGGTAAATGAGGTGGAATTATTTTTAGGTGAACCTTTAGAAGATCTTTGCTCTCCAGTATTTTGAGAAAAGAGCTGCTGATTTAAAGCAGTAAGTAAAGTTCAGCACCTGTCCATATTAGTGTGTCAATATGTTCTTGATGTCAGCTACTGAAATTGCATGAAAAACTAGAGATTTTGGAGGAGAGGGATTGTATTTTTTTCATTATTAAGTTTTCAGAGTTGCAAAAGCTTCCTGACTAACTTTTTCTACTCAGCAACAATTATTCTTTGTTGGCTTTGTGTAACAGAAATCTGAAAAGCAGCAAAACAGGAAGGATATAAAAAGGTGGAAAAAAAGGAAGCAACTCAGAAGCAAATAGATCTCGTGAAGCATGCTTTTGAAGAGAATTGCTGAAACCTAGGGGGAAAAACAAAGCAAAGCAGCACAGGACAAAGTGTGTTAGCAGCAACTCGTAAGTAGATTTCAAAACAGTTGTCTTCTGCACATTTAGCAGTTATCAGAAAAAAGGAGTTTCCATACTCCTTTCATATTTTTTACCCTTAATATCAAATCATTAATTATTCTTTAAGTCATCCTGTGGCAAAGTGTTCTGCTGGGTTTTTTTTTCCAAAAGCTCTGTGGCCATGATTGATGAGAAGAAAGAATCTTTATAAAGAAAAAAAGTTGAAATTCTGCTGAAGTTTCTTAAACACATAAAGACCAGTCAGTACTTCACCTCTCATGAAGAGACTTGATGAAGAATGCATTGCAACTGAAAGCTTGTCTAACTTTTATTGGACTAGCTGTACAACTGGAATAAAGAGATCACTCCAGAAAAGATTCCTTGCCTCAACTAATTTTTGTCATCTTTTCTAGAATGAATTTTGACTTTTAGCTGTATTAGGACAGAGTTCAGGTCACTATTAATGTCTGTCTGTGACACTGTAGCTGGATGTGGTAGTAGGAAGCCAGGAAATTCCAAGTCCGTTTTTTATCTTTTTACCAATTAAAAAATCTTTTAAAAGGTCCTGTGCTACTGCACATGCTATATCATAGAAATGTGAGGCTATCTATAGGTCATTCCCCTTCCCCAAAACAGGATCAGCTACACCTGCTGACAGAAGTTTAACCTGCTCTTAAAAACTTGGGAAGATTCTCCAATCTCCTTACTTGATCTGTTCCAGGGTTCAAACTGTACTCTGACTTCCCTTTCACTCCTGCCACTTTTCCGCCTGCAAAATCTAATTCCCAGCTTATTTATCTGGGAGGTTTCCATTGGCTTCAGTGTGTGTAGGATCACAGCATGCCCTTGATCAAGGTGCTTACTATCTATTCCTTTTGTTTTCACTGCAAAATATGAAAGGATAGATCTCGTGTGTGTGTTGTAAGCTTAATAGGTAAGGTTCATTGAGTAGATGTGATATCTTTTATTAGACCAACTGTGTAGTTGGGAAAAAGTTCTTTGCAAGCTTTCGGGTGCAATTGCCCTCCTTCAGGCATAAGAAGTCTCTGCTGTTATGAGACTCCAAGAACTGAAAGAAGCTAAAAGTGTGACAGGATGTCAGTGAGAATGTGACTATGTGGAAATTAGGAAAACAAAAGTTAAAGCAGGGAAGGACGCAAAGGTAAGTAAGGGAGACTCTACTGGAGCAGTTTTCCAAGGTAGAAAAGAGGCTGACTAAAAAAGTAAATAGCTGGAAATTAGGAAGACAAAGGGTAGAAAAGGAGGGGAGGGGAGGAAGAGGAGGAAAAGAAAAGTGTAAGAGGTCGGGTAAGGCTGGTACCTGGTAAATCAGATGTCAGGCAGGTTGTAATGTGTCTCAAATACAATGTCTATATTGAGTCCGTGATTTTTTTGCATCCAGTAGATTTATGATGTGAAGTTCGTAGGCTCGTCTATGAAAGGTGTTTTGTAAGTTCCCTTTGAGGATTAGAACTGAGAGATCGGAGTGGGAGTGATTGTCTTGTGAGAAGTGGGCATCTACAGGTAGTTGGGTATTCTTGTCTTTGATAGATTTCCTGTGTGCATTCATTCTGGTGTGCAGTTGTTGTTTGATTTCTTCTACATATTTTCCATCAGGGTATTTGGTGCATTGGATGAGATATATAACATTTCTGGAGGTGCAGGTGTAAAATTCAGGAATAGCAATGGTTCTGTTGTGGTGTGTAGTTATTGTGGGGGTGGTGGAGATGCGTTGGCAGGTTTTGCACTTCTTGTCCTGGCATGGTCTGGATCCATTAGGTGTGGTTTGGGTCGTAGGGAGTTTGCTGCTGGTGATGACGTTGGCAAGGTTCAGTGCTTGTTTAAAGGCTAGGATGGATGGTTCTGGAAAGATCTCTTTAAGAATTGGGTCTTCTTCTAGTATGGGTTACAATTGTTTGAGGATTTTATGTGTAGGTTTCAGGGAAGGATGGTATGTCATAATCAGTGGTGTGTGATTTGTGGGGATTTCCTTTATGTCCTTCAGCAAATCTCCGTGTGGTTTCCGGGTGGCCCTTTCAAAAGCATGAACTCTCTCTCTGGAGGAGTGTTCTAGTTGAGTGAAGGCCCTTCTGAGATTTGTGAGGTGGGTATTCTCCTCTGTGCAAATTCGGTGGTATCAGAGAGCTTGGCTGTAAAATACATTAAGCTTTAAGCTTAATATGTATTTATACAGGGTGTCATAAGAGGCAAAGTTTCTATCCAGAATGTACTGCTAAGATTAGTTGTTCAGACTATCAGGGTAGAGAGAGAAGGCTCAAAATGCACGATTAAGTCAATTAAAAACAATGTCCTCCATAATAAGGTGACTGGAGTAACCTGTTCTTTGGCTTAGACTGCTGTGTCCCTGTGTCCTGACAAGTAGAAAGGTGTACGTCTGTAGTAACAATAATAAAAACTAGGAAGAACAGCTTTGATTTTGGTCACACTTTTATGTGGCTAGTCCAGGATAATGGCCTATGGAGACACTCTGTGAAATGATACAGGTCTTTTTCTTTTTATTCATACCTCTTAATTTGTAGTTTTTGCCATCAAATCCATTCATTAATAAAACCAATAACAACAAAACATGAATTAAAAAATCTGGAGTACTTTTTAGCAATTGTGGAATATGTAAAAATCTCACCAAGTTGCAGTTCTGCTTTTGAACGTGAATATTTGGAAGCAGAAAGAGGAAGAGGGTCATGGTTATGCATTTAGGATCATGTGCAGATTATCTCCAACTGTCCAGTCAGCAGTATCTGATGCTTCTCAGGAAGACACAAAGTTTCCCCGTAATCACATTATGCATCTGGCAGAACACTTCCTGATGTCTTCCATTGGCCAGTTTAAGCCCTGAAACATGGGATTTGGTTTTATGGGGGGGGTGGGGGGGGGCGGTTTAATGTAGAGCTACAAGTTTTGCAAGCACATTGAGAGCGCTGCTGGTAATTCGGAGAGTAACTTCATTCAGTTTATAAAGCCACACTGTGGAGACAGCCCTGTGGTAAAGGCCTGAGGCTGGGAATTGGAAGATCTGAATTTGATTTCCCTGCTGTTAGACTTCCTTACATGAAGGAACTTTGGCAAGTGATTTTAATTCTCTTTTCCTTCTTAAAATGGGAGCGATACTTACCTTCATATAGCAGGTTGGCTTCCTTGGATGCTAAGACTGTGCAAACAGAAGGATTATTATTGTTCTCTTCTCAGATTTGTTTAAGAAGTGCCATTCTTTTGACTCTCCAGAGCTGAAAATGCAGACACTTCACAGAAACATGAGCGTGTTTCAGCAAACTAAAATGTTGTTATGGAAAAATGTCCTTACCAAATGGAGGAGGAAAAGGCAGAGCTTTCAGGTGAGTATCAGAAGGTCTTCCAGGAACAGAAAAACAATTGACAAGCTTTGAAGGGTGTCTGTTGGCAAAGTAGGTCATTGTAAGCCTTTTTTTACTTTTACTGAGCCTCATTCTTTCTGTCATGCTGGCAAAGCAGCAGTAGCATAGGCTCTGAAGCATAAATTGTTGAAAGAACCACTTTTCACTATAGAATCAGTTTTTCATGGTTAGGGCCTGGAAATAACAATGTTTAGTTTTGTGGACTTTTTACAAAAGATTTGGCTCTATGACTAAGGAAATATATAAATATTCAGTGGTGTGTGTGTATATAGATACATAGACTGAACAGGCAAGGATTATTGTTTGTATTTTTGTTGCTGTGGCTCAGATTCAAAAGTGCAAGGGGGGTAGTTTCTTAAAGGGCCAGAGCTGGGGCAGGCAGGGCAGCCATGACGGGGGAGCTGGGGGAGCGGGCGCGGGTCGGAGGGGACAGAGCAGGCAGGGGATGGGGCTGGCAGGGGTCCCCCATGGTCCTCTCCTCATTGCCTTGCCCCCTACGTACCAGCTCAGAGTCTGGGTCCAGCTCCCTGCTGCAGCGGGCGGGGACTGCCTGAATTGCCAAAGCTCTCCAAATCTTTTCCGAATCGATTCAGACCTTTTAACTGGTCCCCTGATTCGATTTGGATTCGGAGATTCAGCCACCAAATTGGGACGAATCTTCTCCGAATCGAATCAGCACCTGAAGCTTTGCACAGCCCTATTAGCTAGTGATAATAGTAAGCCCCCTTGCAAAACAACACTTGTATTGCATAGAGTTGTAGGAAAATTGTACGGAGGGAGACGCTCTGTGAAATGAGACAGTTCTTTTTCTTTTTATTTCATACCTCGTATTTTGTAGTGCTTGCCATCAAATCCATTCAATAATAAAACCCTTTGCTCTAGACAGAATCCCTTCTGTCCAAGTCACCCCAGGCAAATGTTTGTCTAATGTGACAGAACATGGGAAAATGCAATCTCTTTTGTTTGTAATAGGTGATGAAGTGAAACTCTGAGGTCAAGAGAATGGGATAGCTTCCAGGAGGTTAGCAATAGGATGTGGACAGAACTTTCACTTGTCTTGCTGGCTCTTTTCCAGCGTTCAGGGCTGGGACTTCAGGACTGTAGTTTCTGTCCCTCGCTCTAAGGTTCTCTCCCCAGGGATGTCAGAGCTGACCAAGCTAGGATGCAAATTTACAATCAAAATGCAATATTCCTCTAAGCAATATCATGGGAAAGCACTATAAGTGTTGATTAAGTATGTCCACCTGTGGAGGTACGTGTGGAATGAAGCCTTGCAACACCTGCAGGATGTTAGAGTTATCTCTTTTATCATGGAAAATGTGCACCAAGTAGCTGTGGACAATCTGTGTGTGCTGCAATCTTACAGTGCCTTGGTGCAGCATGGTAGCTTGAGAACACGATGGCATTTATAGTGCAGGCAAGATGTATCCACGTACCAGAGTAGCTTGTGCATTGTACATGCACGCCATTGCTGCTTCTGTGCTTCTGTCCCCAGGCAGACAGTTTACCTAGTAAATTAAATTGAGCCGGATGCTTAATCCATTTTGCATCTGTTTTTCTGCCCTTAAAATGTGGTTAGTACTGGCTTCTCGATGATGTTGTGAGGCTTCATTTATACAGATTAGTGGAAGGTTTCAAAATAATCAGCTGGAAGGCTGAAGAGAAGCGTGAAGTATTACTGATCAGACCCCAATAGTTGCCAGGGGAGGAGGAGGGATGAGATAGTCGCCCCTCTTTGCTTTTGAAAGCTCTGGTTTCTATCTGCTGACACATGTAGGGAGCTCACTGTTGTGTCCGCACCCTCATTTTGTGCAATCTTTGATCCACTACTAGTAGTCACTATATGACCTTTCCGATATGGTGCACATGATGACATTTCCCTCTTTCAGTCTGCTTCCCTGTAGGCAGTATGACGAAAGAAAGGATTTGGCATTTATATCTTAGCTACATATTAAATGTATGGAAGTTGAGTGAAAGTTCTGTGCATTTTGAAAGGGATGTTGGTTGTAGCCATGTTGGTCTACAGACACAGGCAGACAAGATTATTTGGGTAAATCTGATATCTTTTATTAGACCAACTCAAATAGTTGAGAAGAAAATTTTTTCCAACTATTTCAGTTGGTCTAATAAAAAATATCAGATTTACCCAAAGAACCTTGTCTGTGCATTTTGAAACACGCATGTACTTTTCCAGCTCACTTTATTCTCTATCTATATGGAGCAGGCTAGAAAAAAATTGCTCTTAAATCCCTTGAAGAGGATTTTTCTTCATTTCATCAAAAATTTTCTGGTTTTGAGGAGAGAACCAAAGCTTAAAATACCCCTTGGGTTTGTTTTTTTATTTGTTTTATAGCTTCTCCATGAAATCCTTAAGGAAATGAAAATGTTCATGGTAAACAAAATGTTGGTAATAGAAGTTTGTTATTGAAAACCCTTTTAAACTTCTGGGACAAATTTTTTATCAGATCAGATCAATAACTGCTAGGTCTTTTCAAGAGAAAGTTCTAGAGGAATATTTCATGCATTAATTGTTTGCTGACATTTCAATTTTTACTTATTTGGGGGAATTTTTAGCGATGTGAAAAGAAACAATGTACACCTGTGTTGTCACTATAATGCAAAGAAGGCTTTAGAAGTATTCCACCATAACCTGAGGATGCTACAAAGAATTATTCTCAGTTGTATTTCTTCATTTTCAAAAGAATTTTAAGAATCTCGTTTTGATGGTGTCACTGTTTACATTTTGAGAATGAGCTAAATGTGTCTTACCTTGCCGTACAAAAAGTGCACGTGTCTAAAAAGAAGTATCCATTTGAGGTTCCAATAAGTAATTATTAAAATATAATGTAAAAACTGAGAATAAATCCCCCAGAAATGTCAACAACATTCATGTGCTCCTACAAGATATTTCAATTTTGAGGGAAAAATTGCTCAATCATATTTATTAACCATTTCCACTGGTGAGATAAGCAGGAGGAATATGCTCTCTCTCATTTACTTTTTCCTATTACTCAGGAATGGATCCTGTCACTACTTTTTCTCTCTCTGGTGTATGTAGTTTCACTGAACTCGCATTTTTTCTTCCGTCGAGACATACCGTATGCCTTCCTTGGGCAATTAAATGGTTCTACCTCTGATGTGACTCACATTTCTTATACACCGGTGACCAGCACCACCAAGGAAATAATGAATAAAGTGGCTTCCAAATCAGTCATGATGGGTATGTCATGCTTGTCAAATATTTAGATGTGTTAATTAATTAACTATGCGACTTGTATGTTTTAACAAGTTTGTCCTTTATCACAGCTTGATGTCTCTTTGTTATTCAGTATCTACCATATTCTCTGTGTCTAGCACATTGAGGAAGGTAATTGACAGCAAATTGTACAATCCCGATGGATTGCACCAAAGGGACAGTCACAATGCCCATGCATTAAGACCAGATTCAGCAGCCTGCTTCATGAGCACTGTTCTGGAAAACTGGGGTTGCCTGAGATCTGCTCTTTTTCTCACTGAATCTGCCCAAAAGGCATTGAAGGCATGCAGAAGGAGGTGTAGTTTCATCAGGAAGATAGCAGAGTTTGCATACTCTGTAGCAGGGCCCCATTATAAAAGGGGAAAGAGTCCTTTAAGTGCAACAGTTCAGACTGGGAGGCTCCATATGGACAGGGATATAAAGGAAGGGCCCCGAGCTAGGAATGGTAGAAGAGCTTTGGCCGTGGATGGGGAGGAGCTCCTGCCAGTGGAAGTGGAGTCCAGAGTGCAGCGACTATGAGTGAGTGGACTTCGGGAAATAGCCAGATTTGAAAACGGCTCAGATGGGATGGTATTGGCCTGGAGGAAGGCTGGGGCTAGCAAAAGACTTCCAGAAGGAGTATAAATAGGCCTTAAAAAGGGCCTGCACTGCAAGGACCCCAGGAGTGACCGAGTGAGGCTAAGGGAAAGACCAAAGGCCCTGGAGACATGACAGTGGATTAGAGCAGTGATTCTCAACTGGGGTGCAATGAGATCATTTTAAAGGTTGTGCAATATGCAGCAAAATACACAACTGACAACATAAACTTTATGCTAGTGACCCCAAGTGCTGAGGGCCAAGGTGTGGGGTGCATGAGTTAGATGATCTGGGGAAGATGTTTGGACTGAGGCTGGACCACATGGACCACATCTCAGCCTATGAAGGTGGCACTGCTGGTTCACCACACTGGGCACCAAAAAGAAAGAAAGGAACCTGATTTGTCTAGTGAGATAAAGTGCACTTCTCCATTGATAGCCTGGAGAGAAAAGAGGGGCTTCATCCACAATGTTGTGATCCAGGTCCAGATTTCAGACACCCAAAAATCTGAATCAAGGTTTTGAGTCATCTTGTAGAGACAAGGGCCATAAAAAAGGGCTGTTCAAATCTCTATACTTGGATTTCTCAAAGAAGTTGATGGGTTTTGAGATTCTTTCAAACTGAAATATTGAATGGCTTAGTAGTGTAGCAACTCTCTGTTGTTGCATATACAATTAATCTGATCAGTACTTTCTTAACACATTTTTCCAAGCTGATAAAGTCTACAGTGTCTTCAGGTATCCACATATACCTGGCCTGAAGAACAACATTGTGAAGGAAGTCATGTCTCGGACAAAAACAAGAGATGTACGAAGTGTCAGTGCTCACTTTTTCTGAGTTGTACCTGCCAATTGAAATCCTTTTTTTTTTTTTATATATATATATACACACACCACAGGTATTCGCGCAGAAGGAGTGGAAGATGAGAAGTTTCTGGAAGAGGGAGAGCATTCACAACATGATTTTTTCGGTGTTGTATTTAAAGATGACCTGTCATATAATTTGAGGCATTCTTGGAAAACACCTTTTCCAAATGACAACTTTGGACACATAGGTAATGAAAAATGACTAAATGCCCATACTCTGATAGCTGATGTAAGTAACAGTCTCCAGCAAAGCTACAATCTAGCCCTTAATCCATATGCATCAAATTATTTTTTATGAACTAGAACAAACCACAAATCCAAGTTGATTTTATTTTATTTTATTTTTTTTAAACAACAAAAAAGCCACACTTTCTTATAAGAAATGAGCGGCATATTCTGCTATTACCAAGTAAAATGGAACATTTTAAGTTATGTTTTTCCATTCCCATATTTTTTTTCTCATGTTTCATTATGCTGTTTCCTGCCTTTAAGGTAATGCCATAGTTTATGTCAGTATATGTTTTGGAGATTAATGGGCAAAAGCTATAGAGATCTGACAAGTGAAAATGTACCATTTAACAGTAGTATCCAGAAATTAGCATCTGCTGTTGCAGATTTATGATAATTGTGGGAATGTTATATTGAATCTTTTGACTCTTGTTTAGGATTAAACTCTGAACCTTAAAGTTGCTTTAAAACAATTGTTGCATATAATCATGCTTTTCCTTTCATCTTGGATGCAGATATCTGTTACAATTTTTCAGCAACTTACTGTAAGAACCCAGAGTACTGGTATGAAGGGTTTGTAGCACTACAGTCCAGCATTGATGCTGCCATCATAGAAGTAAGTGGAACTTTTGAGGTAAAACAATTTTCTGTTTCTTTTAGTCTGTACTTAATCCCTAAGCCAATTAACTTGTCATGTGACTGAGACCTTTTAACATCTGGAATTATCTAAATGTAATGGATTGGCTTGTTGGAAATTTCTACTTGAAGATGACTTGGGAAGTATCTTGGTAGCCTGGGTGGTTTGGCAGTGACTTTTTTTTAATAAGTTCACCCACAATGATCTCTACTCAGAATTAAAAAGTCCCCAAATAATAAAGCTCACTATTTATCTTATATAAAGAGCTTCCCAGGCCACAGGAAATATTGCACCCCAATGCACATGGAACTGTAATATGTCCTGTTGCTGGATAATGATCCTGAAGTAGCCATGACAAGCTTGTATTGTGGGTTGTTTTTTAACATTTCCATTTCTTTGCAATATGACGCTCACACCTGTACTTTAAGGTTTTTGCTTTTTTCAGCCCATGTATCCCATTATTGGTACAGAAAAACAATCCAGGCCTCTCACCAAATTTGTGAGCTTTTGTAGGGCCTAAACGATGCAATCCAGTCATGCAGCCAAACCTCCTTGCCTTGCTCAGGATTCAGTGTCTCCTTTGTCTGGGCAGTAGCAGACCGTATCCAGGTCTTTTCCCAACTCCAGTCTTTTTTTCAGGTTGTAGTCACCTTGCTGCCATGTGCTCTGATGACTCTTATCATCCTTGGCCAGCAGTCATTGGAAGTTAGCATGCACTGTTTTCCTTCCATTCTCTTTCCAAAGTATCTCCACTCAACATCAAAGTGTATTAATAGTTCATTCATATGTACATGCCTAAGTAATAAGTGTTCTTTCTTTTATTCTTCTGTCTCAGTAAATGAATTAGCCCCTTCATTTCTATTAGGTCACAATAGAGAAAATAAGGAAATACCTTAACTTTTCTACTAAGTTTTGTAGGAGAGTGGATGAAGGGGTGAGACAGGGGGCTGGCAAGTGGCTGGTCACCATACTAGCCCACCCCTATATTTAGGGAAGTCTGCCCTGTCTTTCCTGCCACGTCTTGCTGATTGATAAACTTGATGTAAATATGCAGGAGGCATAATGCCCCAATGCCTAGGGGCATGGTTCCAACCTTTCCTATACCGTGTCCCATGTCACACAGATGGCATCATAAGTTCTTAGCCTTTGACCCAAACTTGGCCTCACAATGTCTGAGGACTTATCAGGGTCTAACTCCTCTGCCCCCTCATTGGGGCTATTCCTCTGCCTTCTCATTCAGGCCCAAACTCATGCCCCCTCACTGGGGCTCACTCCCTGAACTACTTGTGGGGCTGGCCTGAATGCAGACCTTCAGGTTGCCTGTGCAACCCTACTCTGCGTGGCCCCAGTGCATCCATTCAGGTCACCCCCTGCAATCCTGCTCTGCACCAACACTGCGCAGCCCTTCAGCCTCCCCTTGTGTCACTACTCTGCACAGCCAGTTCTCTCTCTCTGCCCTTCTCACTGGGGCCACTCTTTTGCCCCCTCACTGGGACCAACTTCATACACCCCCACTGGGGCCCCAAGGTCTTACACCCCATGGGCTCAGGTGTCCAAAGACATGCCGGGCCCCACTACCTGTCCCTACTCTGGGTTACCCACCAGGTTGCGGGAGCTGGGGTTATAAGGCGCCCCATACTCACCTTTCACTGGGGAGGCAACTGGCGGGGCATTTCCTAGGGACCACCCCGCCACAGGCAGCCCCACCACACCATCGTACCCCGGCACGGTGTAGTTTCACATCATGCCCCAGGACCAAGAATGTCTTGCCATCCCCATAGTTCCTCCTTGTACCTCCACAGATGTTATGAGCAGCAGTCACAGCTGGGTGGTGTTCTCTCTGGCTGCTTGCAACAACTGCTAGCTCAGCCCTGAGAGCCTGGGTTAAAATGGAGGCTGCTCAGCCTCTTCCTCCTACCCCAGGGCCCTCCTGCAGTCATCAGGGCTGGCCCACACCTGCCGGCTACCCTGCTGCCTGTTCTGCCCCTTAAAGTGGCAGGCACCAAAGGTGCTCTGCCACAAGGGATTTGTGGCTTCGTGATTTATTAGGGTTTGTACTACATAGGTAAGGGTTAGGCTTTCAAAATGGAGAGGTAGTCTGTGTTTGGAATCTGCAGCGGGTATCACAAGATAGATGCAAAGATGGGTGAATGAGAAGAGCACTGTTTCTGAAGCTGATCTTAGCAGCAACATTTTTCATAGACTTAAAGGAGGAAGACTGGAATGTTCAAGGCCAGAAAGGAGTTTAGAATAATAAAGTTATGAGCTTAGCAACCCACCATTAATATCTTTATTTAGTGGCCTACAACATTCATTTGACTGTGTAAAATAAATGACATGCTAATTTTGCTAACATTAATTTTTAGATGAAAACCAATCATTCTGTCTGGAAAGAGATGAAATCAATTAGCGGTGTCCGTATGCAATCCTCCAGTCTCCTGAATTCCATGGTTTGGGGAATTTATTTTACCCTGGTTTTTATTGCAATGTGTTTCTCTGCGTTTGTGCAAGTTTTGTCGACAAACATGACAAGAGAGAAAAAAAATATCAAGGTATTGATGAAGATGATGGGGTTACAAGACTCAGCATTCTGGTGAGTTCTTCAGACAGCTAAAATGTATCCATTTTCTGCAGTATGGAAGTACTTCCAAACTAGTTATACCTTGCAGTATATGTTCAAATAATCTGTAGTGTCACCAAGGATCTCATGGGCAAGAAGGACTCTCAGAAAACATAGGCCCATTCAGTTGCGGATGAGCATGCAAGCTTGGCTTGTATTGTTTGGGGCCTGGGTTTGTTTGCTTTCTGAGGAGAGTGTTAGCATATCTTCTTTGAACACTAAAATGTTGACTCCACTTGGATGTTGGGGAACATATACTATGAACCCAACTGCACTAGCTCTTATGCACCAGATGTGACAAAGCATTCATCAAGGAGTTGAAGAATATCATGGGGCTGTGAGACTTGGCTTTCTGAGCATCCTTGCTCTCAGCAGCAAGGAATGACATAGTGCATTTCCATGTTCAGAGCATGTCAAGCATGCGGGGCATGTTTGGGAACATCCCAGCTGGGATGCACTAAGCAGGACACTCTGAGGTCATTCCACAGCCCTGTGATCTTCATCAACTGCTTGATGAATCCAGGAGAGCAGATGCAGTTGGGTGGGGTGTGACCAAGAATGTCTCGCATGAGGCTTTGTGCTACTGTGTTGGAGTCATATGCTTGGTTATTTTCTTACTGCTGTTAGTTGGGGAGCCATGGTAGAATGAACCATTGCTTCCCAAGTAGGTCTCAAGTTATCTTTTGAGTGTAAGAATAGCCTGCTTTTTGTGTATGGGGATGACCAAAGGTACCACTAATGGGGAGAAAACTCTATGGGAATACTTGCCCTCTTGCTTGTCTTCACATGGAAGGGACAAGTTCCTTTTCTGAACAGCTTTGATGAATAATCTCCTAATCAAGTCAAATATGCCAGCAAATATATATGGAGTGTGAATGGGCTTTGTTAGGGAACTTCTAACCATTTGAATTTAAAATGTTATTTGCCGTGCAGCTGCCAATCATTATATAACCAACATATAACAATATGTTTTTTCACTTCTAGGCTCTCCTGGAGTTTGCTGTATACTGCTTATGTTTTCATTATGTCCTGCCTGATGACAGCTGTTTCTTTTTATGACGAGTTCTATCTAAGCAGCTTCTTTCCAATCGTATTCTTGTTTCTCCTTTATGGCATTTCATCCGTAAGTCTGCATTTCAAAGAGAAACTTGCTCAATGTTCTGTGTTTAAAAATGCCATAATTCTGAATCCTACCCCACACTGCTACTACATGAAGGACAGCCAGAAGAGTAGTCTAAGGGCCCCTCTTCACATTATATTTAAACTGCAGTTGAGGGTTGGTTGCAACATAAATGCCAAGGATGCTACACATGCACCCAATTTTACATGCCATAACATGGTAAACCAGTCTTATGGCATGGCAGGAGGCATGATTGTTGGGACTGGGAATCAGATCCCATGGCACCTTCAAGTGAATATCTTCCAGGTGCTGAACTGTAGCCTTTGCTTGGCCAAACTAACTAAGCAAGCTGAGCATCTCTAAATCAGTTTAGATAGGACTTTAATTATCTGATGAGCTATAAGTAAGTGTGCATCCTTATCTCAGATCTGTCCACCAACAGCCATTTCAAACACTGAGAGAAGAAACAAATGAGGGTTGTGAACATAGAAGCTGAAGTGGCCTGTTGGTATTGAAATGGGTTCTACCATGGATGTCCTTTAATTTTGTGGGTGAAATTCTCCCGGGAATAATTTTTACAGGCTGTTTTTTGGTTTGTTTTGGGGAGGTTTTCACATTCTTAGAATTGGGACCTTCATGTAAGACACTCAAAGATGCTCCTGTGCGCTCAATTAATTTGAAATGCATTTTAAATACAAATTTAACTTCACAGCACCTCTCTAATGTGTCATGCACAGTTTATGATACATTTCCAGGGGTTTAAAATGCATTCGGCCAACTGAGGGTTTCCTTATTTTTACAGATCCACTTCACCTTCCTGATCAGCTCCATCTTTAAGAAGCCTAAAACCACGAGCAGTGCTGTGTTCCTCCTCTCATTTCTCTCTGGAATTTTGAGTATTATTACGCTGTTAGGGAAGCCTCCTGTAGCTTTTGAATGGGTTTTTGGTTTCCTCAGCCCTTTTGTTTTTAATGCTGGAATTGCAAAGGTAAGGAACATTATTGGCGAACAGTCAGGGTTGACTGTGTAGTTTTCCTGTGTAGGTTATGCAATAGGATGGTTTGGGTAGGAATGCACCTGCCTCAAGAAGCAGTTGGACTAGTTGACCTCTGGAAGTCCTTTCTAGTCTAGCTTCTCTTACGAGTCTTTGTACATAGAAAAGCTGCAAGTAGTAGCTGGTTCTGAATGTGCTTGATCCAGACAAAGGTAGAGAACTACTTATCATGTATGGCATTGGTATTCAGAGACCCTATTGTGCTATGGGGTAGAAAAACACATGGGAACATAGCCCTGTCCCAAAGCATTAGGTGATCAATAGTAGTAAAATGTCCAAAAACTTCAGTTTCTTGTATGAAAGTAACTCGGAACTGGAGAAAAGCAACTTCCCAGTCCCTTATGTTTCCATGACAGAAACTCTGCCCAGCCACAGGTTTTATTTTTCTTCTCCACCTCCTCCCACCTTTCAGCTAATTGGAAGACAGGTCCCCAGAGGACTGTGTCCCTTCTGCCAGTGAGTCTGTCCTTTAAATATTGCTAAGTAAGACCTGCATGCTCCAGCGGGAGCTGGGTGTCCAAGAGCTCATCATTTAGGCCCAACCCACGTCCGGACTAGTTTGATTTCCAGGTGAAAACTTCTCAAGACAGAGGGTTTTGCACCCCCAGGAGCCGAGTTCACTACAAATTCTCATTATTTAAGGAGGCATTAAATTTACGATGTTTATGTTGGTTATTTGATTGTAGTCTTCAATAGAAAACCCAGAGGAGTGTCCCGGTATACCAAAATGTGTTTGCACTTCGTTGGTGGGTGAAGTGATACTTTTTCCCCGTGATTTGTAAATATGATTCTGAAGAACTTGTGCTCCTTTGAATGAAAACAGGTAGACCCCTATCATTAGGAGGAATTTATTTCTGTTAAGAAGAGGGAAAAGCGATGATACAGTTCTGGACTTCCCAAATTACCTTTGGGTAAACTAAACATTGCATAAATCGCATCAGATTTTCTTTTATTTTCTGGGGATGGTTTTCAAACTGAAGATTGTTTAGACTTTTTCTTTTCTTGCAGATTTTTCACTTAGAGCGGTATGGAATAGGCTTCTATTTTTCTAACCTAATGGATGAATCATCCTTTTTACTTAAAATATACATCATCCTGATTATTGACTCAGTTTTGTATATGCTGTTGGCTGTCTATTTTGACAAGGTTTTGCCCGGTAAGCAGACTTTTCACTAAGCCATATATACATTTACTGGTACTTCAAAACACGTTGGTTCCTATCACTTGTCTCTTTTATACTCAACCCATAATTGCTTCGAGGGACTACAGTTAATAATGCTGAATAAAGCAAACATATGGGTTGGAGGTCAGAGATCTTGTTTCTGAACCTACTGAATGAATAGCTTTGCACATAAATGAAAGAAGCTCCAGTGCTTGATAATGTACAACCCTAACAAAACTTTTGCTCTGAAGAACTTAGAAGAGTGAGGGGATGGTGAATAGAGTTACTCACTTGTATCTGTTCCATATATAGCTGTTACCATGCAGGATTTCAAGAAAACAGATTAATTGTTTTCATGAAATTATCGCTTTTCATAAGAAGACATTCTGATGTCCTTGCCTTGACACACCTCGTGTTGGTCAAAACCCTTCACCCTATCTACAGGCTCAGGATGCCGCTTCTTCTCTGGCTTCAATAATAGCAGATGGGAGAGAATATTTACACAGCACTGCTCTAAAGCAGTGGTTCTCAACCTTTGAGACTTGAAGCAACCTTCAGAAAATGCCAGCTCATAGTTTTCACTCTTTTTTTTTTAACTACAGAAAAATAATAGAGCATGTTTTCTGTTGCAAAGGGCTAAAAAAGACCACACCTGTGGATTTCTGTTTGAAATCTCTGGGTTTATCTTATAAATCATGTTTGTAGACCTAACAGTGCTAACATTGTATGGCATCTGACAGCACTCTTGAGCAAATCTCAAGGCACAGCTTGATTGAAAAACACAGCTCTCAGCTAATGGTCAAACTTTGAAAGGTTTTTAGGTACCTGAAGATGCAACCTGGGCTCCTGCAGTTGGCTTTTCAAAAAGAGTTAGGTACCTCTGTACTGTTGAATAGGGCTGCACGAGACAGCATCTTTTCATTTCGACTTCCATTTCGAAGGGACAGTGTTTCATTTCATTTAGTTTCGAAGCACTGTTCCAGTTTGTTTCATCGAAACTGTTTTGACGTGTTTTGACATGTTGCCCATAGGCTGTAATGGGAAATCATGAAAATGTCTAATGTTATTTCTTGCCTGATTTGCAAGCCCAGCTTCGAAATTTGAAATGTTTAAAAACATTCAAAACATTTTGAGTGCCCTCATTTTGTTTTGAAGCTCTTTCGAAGCCTTTTGTTCCATTTCAGTATTGCTGTTTCGACCTCGAAATGCGTCAAAACGAAACACCTGGCAAAATTTTGCACAGCCCTACGGCTGAAGATATCATCATGTGCCTGTCTCTGTCTTTAGGTGTCTAAATCCTTTTAAAAATCCTATTCAGAGTGTTTAGTGATGTGAACAAATGTTTTGTAAACAGGTTCCTCTGCTAAAATGCCATGTTCTTTGGTCTGTCATTAGACAAATATGGAACACCATATCCCCCTTTGTTCTTCCTGAAGTCATCATACTGGGTCAAAAGCCAGAGGCGTTATGATGGTGGGAGATCCGAATTTGAACAAAACTGTGATCATGCTTTTGGTGATAATGTGGAACCGGTGCCTCCAGAATTTGCTGGAAAGGAAGCCATCAGGTACAATGTGGTACATGAAACATAATCTGTAGCTACGTGTTACATCTGGAGAGTGGAGCAGCAAACATGCTATTGTGCTCTTTATCAGTTTTGCCTTACCTCAGTTTTCTCAGTTGTCTTCTTCAAAGGTTGTTTTCATTTCACTAAGGAAAAGGTAGAGAGTTAGTTAGAAATGAAAGTAAGAGCCAGGTTAAAGTACTCAAAAAGGAAAGAAGTAAGATAACCTACATATTTGGCTTAATGTTGAAAACTTCCTTGAAAAATAACAGCAGCAAAGGCTGAAAGAAGCCATACGCATTTTACCAGAAGTCTATCTGGAACATGATGCCCAGCACCTCCAAAGGCAGAAGGGCAAGATCATTACAACACGTTCAGACTTTTCTATATGAGAGGGCTCACCTCCTTGGGTCTTGCACAAGGTGTAGATAGCTACTCTGTGAAAGGTTGGGGCAGGGCATTACTAAGACAGAATGAAATGTGTCCTGCTGCCTGTGGGAATGGAGGGACAAGGTTCAAGGCAATGGAGAATCAGATCTTTAGGTATCAGTAAAGGACCCCTGAGAAACTAACTTGCTGTGTTGCAATATTAACAATAACTTCTTTATCCTTCCTTTAGGCTCAGCAATATTAAAAAAACATATGGAAAGAAGGAGAAGCAAGTAGAAGCGTTGAGAGGTACAAAAGTTTCTGAAGCATTTGTTTCTGTTTTACCTACAAATGAATTAAATACATTCTGGAATATTAAGGCTTTTTTGTTGTCATTTTTTTTATTTATTTTGAGAGGATGCATCCAAGTTCTGCTTTCACAAGCTTACAAAGGCAATGCAGATATTTTCATTGGGATGCTTAATCCCTGCTACATTTCCAACAATATGTAAAAATATTGAAATCATATGTTCAAATTAAAACAATTACATTTGTCATAATTGCTGAATGAATATCTCGAAACATGATTGATGAAACTGATGCTTACTTGTTCAGTTTTTAGGGGCTGTTTGTGCCTCCTAAAAGTAAAAGGGAGCATACATTGTTCTAGGAGAAGTGAAATAATCATTTTTAAAGTGTCAGTATTTTTTCTTCCTTTCTCTGCAGTGCCCCTTTCCAGTAAATACGAAATATCATACAACTGGATAGGACCCGCAATCCTACCGCACAACTCGTTTGTGTAGTTCTGACATTGTCTATGTCAGCTTTGGCCAAAATGGTATTTCTTGGCAAGGGTCACAAAGAGACACACAGAGACTTAACTTTCTTCGCTAACCCTTTTTCTAACAGGGTGTTGTGCGTTTATTTTAGGTTTGTCCTTAAATATTTATGAAGGCCAGATCACTGCATTACTTGGTCACAGTGGAGCTGGAAAAACTACATTGCTAAATGTGCTTAGTGGACTCACTGAAGCTTCAGAGGGTATGATGATATGCTGTCAACCGAGGGGTGGAATGGGCTTGATTTCAACTCTGTTGTGGGGTATGAACAAAGGACTCATCTGATGTTTGTGTCTGTTTATGCTGCAGGTTCTGCCACCATATTTAACCACCGATTGTCTGAAGTGAGAGACAAGGATAGAATCAAAGAAAGAATCGGGTTCTGTCCACAATTCAATCTCCAGTTTGAAGCTTTAACAGTGAAAGAAAATTTGCGGGTTTTTGCTGGAATCAAAGGGATCCTGTCCAGTGAGACAGAGCGTGAGGTGAGTGCTTCTTCACTGGAGAAGAGCCTTGACTGCACGGCAGCACTGGAGAACGTGCCTTTGAAAATCTAATTTAATTGTGTAATGTAAAAATATGGTGACACCCTGAGTATCAACAGTGGTTAGGATGTGTCTGAAAATTGATGCCAATTTCTTTGGAAAATCCTACTAGGTGCATCCTTAGGCACTGAAATGCCTTTTAAATTTTCGCGCTGTATTCATTTCCAGGCTGGCATATTTATCCCAGTCAGCAGAGTTTGGTTAGATCTACAGTTCAGGTTTATAAAGATATCCTAGGTGCAGGGGGTCCTGAAGTGCAAGGTTTGGTAGAACCTTTGATAAAACGACTGACTATTCCTTATAGTGTCTTTCCTCATTTATATGGCTTTGGCACAAAGGGGCTACCATAGCATCAAACAAAAAGGAGGGCCCTGCTCAAGTAGCTTACAGTGCAGTTTTCAAGAAGTATCCATGTGCTATGGATGTAGAAAGACATCTAATAGGATTTTTGTAAAGACTCCAATGCCTGATCTGGCTTCTTTCCTATTACTTTCTTTTTTTTTTTTTTTAATCTCACGTACCCATTTTTGTCTTTACTAAACCTGAGACCCCATTTCTTACTCCCCTCTATGGTAGTGCCATGGTAATAACCA